ACGATCGAAACGGGCACACGCATCGTCTGACCACGGCGCATTTATAAGTACTAAGGTAGCATTGTGATGATTATACATGACGTGACAAAAGTTTTTAATCCGTGATCATTACATTCGGTATTACCCACATCAGCGCATTCCGCAGATCTTTCGTTTGCTACGCCTAGACAAACTTGCTCACATCAAACAATGAAAAAAATGGTGTTTTGAATTTATTGTTGACGCAACGAATTCTGGAATTTCGTTCAATAGTCTGCTGGATAAGGCTACACATACCGACCCATCTATCCGCACACGGTTTCATATAGTGAGTGACCTGATACGGAATGATGTGGATCACTTCAATTGTTATTGATCGCGCAATTGGTTCCACCTGCACTTTTATGGCATCTAGATACCCAAGCTGTCCGCATCAGCTACGACGATACGGGCAGGCTAACTGATGGATCCTAAATCACGCTAACAATGGGAAGGGTGTCATCGGCTTTGCCCGCGATAACGTTCTGGAGACACAGTCCAGTAACGTTTATAATTTGCTTGGAGGTGGATGCACATACCTTATGCACACATGGCAAAGAATATTCAAAAAGTAAAAGTGAGATCACTAAGGCGTGAAATAAAGCGCAGTATAAATCTGAAAGTATTCATCTCGGGATCCAAATTCAAAAGGTGATTTGCAGATTTTGTAGGAAAGAAACAGAGAAATTATTCACGCACATTGAAGGTTATAGACTCTCCCCTTTGCCCAACGACGGTCGCTGACGGCTAGCTGCGTCACGTAACTGTTTTCGGCGAACAAGTATATAGGCCTACTTGTATACCATTCTATAATACACGTCATGCCATCGCTCTATTATCGCTCTTGATAAACACTATTGTCACTGCCATGCTCGAAACAGGATGAGACAATAGACCGTGCAGAGCAATAAACAGTAATTATATGTCGTTGTTTACGCGATGTGTAATGATCACCATCTTTCTTATCACCATTAAACCAATATGTGACTTTCAAATGTAAAATTTGGTTTAGCATTGAGTGGAAAGATATGCCTATATGCGCGCTCGGAAACTGCAGATTTAATTCAAGAAGCTTGACAAGTAAAATTTTTCAAGGTATAGGAAGCTCAACCGAAATCGATCAAATCTGCTTGTGGGTTGAAACAGTGCGGGTTTATCTGAAATAATATCGTTAACTACTCAACCGTATGACCCAGCACCGAGCTATGACCATGATGTAGGTGTTAACCGCTTCTTGTTGTCGTTACAACGACACATCGGGTACTTAATGACGGTATTCGAACCGCTACGTGTATAGAGATTATAGTGCATTGTAGCCCACCATGGTTGCTACGCTGCGACCATGTAGGTCGGCGTCACACAGATTGGCAACCAGTATATGTGGCAACATAGCATACACCCGCAATCGTGTTTGCGACCGCGTAATCCTGGCAAGGTCGCGTCATGCATGCCCATCATCTTAGGTTAGGTCACGCACGCTACAAGTGTTGTGAACTCGACCGGCTTGCCTCCCCACGGAGTTTCTATTTGTGTCACGTAAGGGTCAGTGCGGGCCATTGGCAATGTCAGTATTACGTAAAGCAAATTACACATAGCTGTTTACAGCCGTACGATAGGCGTAGCTATAGGCCTACGTAGACAATAGAATTATGTCAATTATTCTGGAATCTTTGCGCAGAATAGAGCGACCAGTGTGTGCGTGTGTGTATGCGCGTGTGCGTGCGTGCGCACGCGCGAGTGTGTGAAAAGCTATATGATTTACTAAACCATCGTGGTTTGCCGATTGCATGTTATATCTTATAATCGCCCGTGCCTATTAGTTACTATCGTGCATACACGATAGGGGTTTCAGATACTTTCCATTGTTACACCAAAATGTTTTTAATTGCACTTTAAAAGTAGCGATTTTATATGTTGGGTTTGAGGTTCTGCCGTGAGCTAACCATATTTCTCTCTCGAGGACTATATCGTGAGCGTATAATTGGCGCGTACGTGACACCGGCCAATCATAGAAATACTCTGTATAAATATTCTGTATATTGTTTCTCTTTCGATTGATCAACATACGCACAGCGTTTATGCGCACGTGGATGTGCAGGTGCACGCGACTATAAATATGTAGGTACCTACATATTATCAGAAGTAGATAATATTACTACTATTGATATATTGATATGTCTCAGCGTATATTCGTAATGTGTGCATGCGCGTGTAAAGCTTTATGCGTGATGTGCGTGCTCGATGTCGGTATATGCGCTCACGACATATTATTCAAGTTAGCAAATATTAATCCTAACCAACGTGCACGCGGCGCGCTAATGGCTACAAACTGAAAAACGCACGAGTTACACTAATCATATAGTTTGGAGCGCCGCAAACACGTGGTTACCGCCAACCTTTCTTACAATGGAACAAGAGGCTATTCATATAACTCGCTCAATATGTGCCAAGACGATAAGTAATCATAGGGCGGCTGTGAGCAACGACCGACGATGGTCACCTAAACAGGGCGCCTACTCACGAGCGCGCCTAGATATGCAGCCGAAGTAGGTACAGGTCGCAGTTGAGTCTCACCTGCTTCTAAATACAGGGGACAATAGTGCAATATACGAGCCGAAAGTCTGACGAAGTTAGATAGTTGTTATAGTTAGCCGCAGCGGTATAGGGAATGAGGGTAAAACATGAATGGTTCCGACTCACCGCTAGAAAATTACAGACGATCGCTCGATATAACAAAAATTCGGGACGGTTTTCGAAAATCTAGAGCTCATATATCTGCAATTAGTCTCACAGGTCGGTTCGACACAATGCAGTCAACTGTCTCTTACTTTGGACTTTAAGTCCAACTTGACATGTCGTGGAATATGTGGACTAGTCGCCTTGATATTTAAAGGTGCCATCACTTTAAGCATCATCTGATTTTCGCAGGTTTTTATTTGCTTGCAGCGTCCCTTAAAAGTGTCGTTTCAATACAAATAACACGTAATGAAATGAAGTTATATTTCATAGTTTCGAGCCCGAAAAGCCCTGGGTTGGTGGAAATTTAACAATCTATTATTCACCAAAATATATAATTACCTAAGGTATAAAATATATCTTGTGCGCTTGTATTTGCTCATTACTATATAGGGTGTTAGACGTTCAACGTTTTTCAGTAGGATATATATATATATATATATATATATATACAGGGGCGATGTACAGGGGGGGGTCCAGGGGTCCGACCCCCCCCTGCTCGGCGCAGAAAACGCATCTAAGTTTTCCAGACCCCCCCTTCGCGTGCTCCCAAGTTTGGGTTACGGTTAGACCCCCCCTGGTACAAATCCTGTACACGCCCCTGATATATATATATATATACTGAACGGATATGCCATATTGGTTAAACATGCCATGCACAGGTATCAATCATACACGGATTATCTGCGACCATTAAACGTAAATTGAGTTATTTATGGATAAAATCAATGCTCACTCGTTCATGCAGTCACTAATTATCAGCTAAACTGTAAATCATTTGCAGCATATTATCAAGAGCGTATAAAGAAAGATTATTTATTCCCTTCTTTATACGCTCTTGATATTATTCTGCCCTCACGCGTAAACTGGCACGGCCATTTTCACAAATATCCAGAGGCAAAATGCCGAAATAGACCGGTGTTATTGCCGTCAAACAAAAAAATAGTCGTTGCTTTTCCTGTAATGATCGCATGCGTGAGGTTACGAGCGCACACAGCTGTCAAAGTGTGTTCTTTAATGTTCTCTAAACAGCATCCATCATCTATACTGATATCACAGCGGACCGTGGCGATCGCAGAACCCGGAGTTCCGGCGGTCTATTATTTACCCCAGAGTACCGGCCACTTTCGACGTGAAAAGTGAATTTGTAGCCGACGAGGTACACTGTGGGGCAATAGGTCATGTGCGCGGTGTTCTCCTCTCTTCTCTCGCTGGATTAGGCGAAGATTTTCCATGCCATCGCGCGGGACTACATACGATGCGTACGAAATTTGTAAGACACTAGCATATATAGAGGGGCGGTTGGAATATGTCACGGCGGACACAATGCGCTGATGCGCTTTCGTACTTTTACGCCACACCGCTCGTGCGCGCGCACGTGTGCATTGTTCGTAGTTTTTATCTACGATCTCGGTCGCCGTTCCCCGACCCTACAATGTTGACAATAGCCACGTCCACAGCCCATCTTCGCCGCTGTTCGAAACGCCAACAACCCCTCCCACCAGCACCACTACATCTACCATTTGTGTATATGAAAGCGCGAGTACATCGAGGTCAGGTCAGTGAGTGTTCTCTCCCCTACGATAATTCATCAGCTAGAGGCGTTCAGCGCCGACGACGACGACGATGGCAAATACCTTCGGCTTTGTGCAGCGCCTCATAGAAAGAGGCGAAGAGCCGACTTGCGAGTCTTAATTAATTACTTGATAGCGAAACGGGGGGGGGGAGGGTAAAATAGGGGAGGGGAGGGGTATAAAATCGGGCAGGGAAATACACCGTCAGCGTCAGTTTAATCAGATTAGACGGAGGTCTACAATGAAACGCCGAGATGTAATTTAAACGGCGGGATCATAATCAAAATGGGGGATTTACATTTTTACCCAATTTTATTCTCAGACCATTATATTCTTGTAAGTATAGTCCACGATGTGTAAGAGGAATAAGGCATGCATACGACAATGACGAATAGTATGTGGGGCAATAAATTTAACAGAGATGGCAGAAACGGGTTAAAACTTCGCTGGCGTAGACGAAAGACGAATAAAATAAAGGCACGAATGACAGAAAGGAGAGAAAAAGAAATGTAGTGACAAGAGAATACAAAGAAAGAAAGAGAGAGAGAGAGAGACAGTGACAGAGAGAAGATAAACTTCTCGTTGTTAGAAGTGTTCACGCAGGGTATGTTGACGTTACATCCCCACATGTGTCTAGTTTATACGCCAAGTAAAACGCCCGTACACTGGATGTAGCTATAAATCTTACAAATGAAAAATATTTATTTTTTCCATCATCGCACATAACCACAAGATTACGCAGCCGACAATTGCAGTATTTGCTCACTGGAAAGTGTAGCATAGTGCGAAAACACCTAGTCACAGCCCTTCACCACCTCAATAGTACACTCTATAGTTTCACCGCGGTGAGAATAATAAATAATCAGATAAAATTGCCGTAATTACCAGCGGATTATTAACAATAATTACACCACCAACAATAGCCGAGATATCACATCGTGTAATCCGCCTTCAGCCCACCCTCGCGCTCTCCATGCTGCGGGTATAGTAGCATCACTAGTCAGGGAGCAACATAGTGACAAGTACAGACCGGCAAACCGACGCTATATCACAGACACTTTCTTCGCAACTACACGATCGGCAGTTTCAATATGTGATCGAGGTAATGTCTGCTTGCAATGAACCACCGCTCCCGCCTACCACGACCTTTCGATTTCGTCAACAAACGAGTCTATTAAACGCGTGTGTCGACGGCGCTGGTATGCATTGAGTGAGACAAGCAAGCCGCTGCTCGCTTCCCCCCCTGCCGTGTGCCGCCGAAGGGAAGCGGCTAATCGTCTGCTAAACAGTGGGCGTCTGTCTCGCCGTCGTTGTCTGTGTCAGCGCTGCTGAGTCTTTCCACACCGCCTCTCGCCCGCACACCTATAATACCGCTCGCTAGCTCTACGGCACACAGCCCAGTGCTTCTTCACACGTAGCCTTCACACGCGTCATCGTCGTCATCATCGGCATCATCCGTAAGCCATGCAACCCATATTACGTAAGGGGGGCCTGACGCGCGCAATCTCCGCCCGTGAAATAGTTCCGCCTGCGTCGTACCCCTTATCGGATGTAGGTGAAGGCCAGGCGGCCAACATCCACCACGCACGAGAATCTGAATTCATCGGCGTTTATTAAAACGGAAATAAAAACACGCGCAACAGTGACAGCATTCAGTAAACACGAACACTCTTTCTGTGCGAATGTCTGCGTGACGCGTTTCGTGCTCCGCCGGGTGACACCCACGCCCAATTTTTCTCTTCAATTCGAAAATACCCAACAATACGCCTACCTGTCTACGCTTACGATTTACTATGTCTTTGATACGTCTGGCTTTCGATTTGAAATATATTTCGACCGAAATAGTTTGTAACATCACGCACAAACGCTCACGCCTAGAGAGAGAATTGGACCGATGGGAAAGTTTTCTAAACATTCTTTCACTTTTGACAAATCGTTAACTACTTAGCAAGTGACAGGGCAGACAGTAAAATTCGATTACATAGCTACTGGGTGTAACTTTTAAACCGTTATCAATTAGTCACGTTCGAAAACAACCACGTCATTCATTCTGGAATGTGAGCTTAGTGTTGTTGTCCTGTTTTACCATCAATACAAATGACTGCCAGGTCGAATGGCGTGGGGGTAGTGTGTAACACTATGGTGACACTTACGCGAGGACCAGCCTGGAACAAGTTACCATTACATACTCTGGTGCCACCGGCAACCCTCTAAAATACACTCCAATGTCTTACTATATACTGCGAAACGAAATCTAATCTCAACAGAGAAGGACGCTATTGATCACTATATAACCAAAGTATACATTGTCTGACTGCATCCGACCAATGACTAAATACCAGCACCAATCTTCCTGAGATCGAGTGAACCTCATTCAAATTTCACTCTACCCTTTCACTTCGCAGTGAATATATCAATCAGCGCTTGGCACAATACACGATTGACGATTGACGATGACGACACAAAATTGTGTAAGAAAAACAAATCGGAGGTATATGATTTGTTACGGCTGTAACATCTCCACAATTATCTTTTGGCCGTGTGAAGGCATTTAGATCATTCTCTTCTCGATTAACCATTCTCGCCCCCCTGTACTGATGTTATGGTTACAAGTGTCCAATGCATATTTAATATGAATTTGCACGGATACATTCACCTCTATATCATGATTGGGTAAGAGGTATTCCTGCCGTTTGTAATCATTTAAGATCTATGCTTCTCAAGTGGGAAAGTCTTCCAAGTTTCCATATCATATGAAAGTGTGTTGCGTGTTAGGGTTATAGCAAGTGTTCCATGTTTTCTCCGCCATGTTTATGGAGTGATCCATGTTCCCACGTGATGGGTAGAAATGCTTCCTGTCATCGTATTGAGGACGTACTTCATGCTCGTTCATGCCGTCTAGACAACTTCACTGTCTCCATTCTAGATTCAAGTCTCCATGCCACATTCTCGCAACGCACGCCACTGCTTGGCTCTGTGCTTCCAATGTCTTCCACCTCTCTCTGCTCTCGCGTAATTGCTTCAGGCTATGGCGTCACCTAGTGCTAGTGGCAGTCTGCTCGATCCGGAGGGTTCATCAACGCGATGAGACCGTCGGCGGCATTTGGGACACTGCTGACCGGAGTTTCTGAAGCAGCTCCTGCAATACAAACATTGACCATTACAAAACGAACTGACCATGCTCATTCACACACACGTCAACTCTCTATCACCCGGACAGAAAAAAAGCCTATACGTTGCAATGTACGGTTTTCGATCAAACACAGACCAACATTATTAAGCCCTACAACGACCTTAGCTTAAACGAAATAGCGATAAACTTCTTCGCGTAGCCAAATGCACAGCGCACCCTGGATCGTGACCATTCACAAACAATGAACCCAACTGCGCATTTTTACCGCGCTAAGCTACTATGGTAAAGCGAACCGTTAACAGTCACTATCACGTACGTGATGACAGACCAACGAAAAGATCTACGAGTCGCGTTTAAGTGTTACGAAAACTGTCACACGACGTTTCTGGGCCAGTGCGAACAGCGGCGAGCTAGTGCACGGATTTAGGCAGTGAGGCGGCGAACCTACTGCCCTCAGGGAAGAAACCCCATCGGCCACAGACAAGATGTACAAAACGCACGACGAGCCCTAGCTCGCCGACACGCACGCTCGTTGTTCTGATCAGAGGTTCAGCGTACTGAATGCACCAAATGATTGCTCAGAACCCCCCCAAAATTAGCACCCGAAATCAATCACAGGGCGTGCCCCCCCTCCCGAGCACACGAGACGGCAGTAGCGACGCGCACACACTCGGCGCAGTGTTGTCTCTGTCTGAAGAACATTAGGATCATCACCCCGCCACCGTGCCCCGATCTGTATAGGCTTCCAAGTGTACACGCATCTCGGCTGATAAACCATTTTCACACACACACTTCACACACACACACACGCATTAGGTGGAAATTGTTGCAGAGCGTGTGATGCGAGCAGACAATCGCGATCATTTACTCGCAAAACCGAGACGTTTGGCACGGAGCTAATCCAATGTTTCTGTATAGCGTTCGAATTTTTTCTCAAACCAAGCTCTCCTTGGTGCCACCGTTTCCGGAATGTCTAGGAGTTGAGTTCTGGTTGCATATAGGGCATGAGATTGGCACTATAACCCCTTCTTTAATGTAGGGTAGGCTGGGAGCACCAACCTCCAATTTCTTTAATTTAAGAAATTATAGAATGAAAATGGCCCATTCTAATGGATTATGAGACACCATTTTCACATAAATCTTACATCGATATAAAGGTAAGAGATTTAAAATATCTACGATAAAAGAAGCATATAATGTCCAGTTAACAATGGCAATTTTATTACTGCGACTCCACAAAGCCGACAAACATCCACAACACAAATTTGGAAAAAAGTGGATTCAAACTTAGAGCAAACCAACAAAACATATAAGAAAAATTTATACTGCAAGTGTACACATTGTTACGCAAAGCTTTATTTCTAATATAATGGTGAGTAATTAATTGTTAAGTATTAATTTGATTGCTAAGCATGGCAGCTGCATGGTAACAGAGATGTGTATTTGTGTATTGTATTACTTTACATGCTCACAGTGCTCAGCTAGGATATTAAACATTTAACCGTTTCGTGTACGTAAATATAATGTTACACGACCGTGTAATGGAGAGTAATCAAAATATTACAGTGCAAATACACGGGTAAAAAGAGCACAATTGCAAGCTAATTGAGTGCTTGAATGATCAAAAATCTGGCGTAATAAAAATTTCCTAGCGTTTCTCTGATTTTCTGGCTCTTTAACAAAATTCCATGACGTTCCCTGACACTTAGAAGCAAAACAGAATTTTGTAATTTTTCCTAGATTTCTATGTGAAACCCAATTTCTAATATAAGTGATGATCCTCACAGAGCTGTCTTACACCTTAATATAAAGGCATTATTGTCCTGCTATAATAGACTAGTGTTTGTGAGGCGTTGATATCCGTAAAAGCATTGCTAACATAGGCTAGATTCTGGGGCGAACCATCATTACATAATGCATGGTAAATAGTAATCTTGAACCTCTAAGCCAATCTTAGACGACGAATCCATATAACGCTACGTTGCGGGATAAAATAATAGTATTGCAACTTTTCTCGTATGCCCTCCACTGCAACTGGGTGACTACACTTTAATACACAACATAAAAATTGCTTAGTGAGACGCGCAGGTTACAATGCTAACAAAATAAGCCCGGGTCAAATGCGCCCATAGCAAAATGGAATGCTGAATGTACGTAAATAGCCTTTCACTACCGAGAAGAAACACGGACGTTGGCCATAAACGCCGAGAGAAAGAGAATGCAATTCACACACAAAAACGACCGCATGTTGAATGACACACGCAGCCCTAAATACTAAATAATGACAGCCAGACAAAATGGCGCAGTCCCATCACCTCGCACGAAAATCGCACAACTTTCGCTTCAACCTTACAAATCAGCGATTAAAATAACTGCGCAAACACGCGGACGCGCTGAAGAGATAAGGCCATTGATCCCCCGGCGTGACATGTACTACTGCGGCAGCTATCAGCGGGGCAGTAGGCCAGCAGTCAGTGGTCAAATGAACAAGCGGCGGAAGAGGATTAAGGTGTTGCGGCGGTGCGCTGCAGACGTGCGCGCCTAGTTCTGCACAAACCCCAGTGCACTAGTTTCTCCTTGCCTGTCGCTACCCCTGCTATAGCCGCGGAGAAACGATTCTTTGCGTTTGATTCACAGCGTGGAGTTTCTCTCTGCTGTTCGGTTTATTGGTTTACAGGTTTGTACAAGGTGTTGCTATAAGATTTATAGGTTTATTTGGACGTAGCTGAGGAAAACATGTAGTAGGCAGATATGTAGGAGAAATCCCCTTGAAGGATTACTGATTAACTGCCCTCGTTTCACCTAACCGCCATGCTGCTCCTATGTAAATTATGAACGCTGATGCACAACCTAAATCAAATGGCTGTTCAAATCGCAGCAAGACTGCTTAGACTGGTATATAAAACACACCTATGGTCAAAGGTCAATGCACTTATCATGTGGATAGTAATTCCCATGAACAGTAATTCAATGAAACTCCACAAGCTGTCGGATTTCATACACTAACGTGCTATTTAGGCCATGTAAGTTGTAACACGAGTGACAACAAGGATAACATGTATGCAAATCACAATGAATGCAAAACCTTTTAAACTATCGTACAATCATTTTATACTCAACATGAAATACACAAAAGGTAACAAGACATGTACACCCGATTATGCTATACAAGAGAAAGTTAGCGTCCCATTTAAGAAGACAAAGACCAAAACGTGTCAGGCAGAAACTAGCACAACAATCGTCTGCCGACAGCGATTGCTCACCTGTGGAAAACAGCTGAGCATCCATCACAAACGATCGCGAGGTCATCGAATGGGAATATCACGTCCTCTTCTGCACACAGCTCACAGATGTAGCCTTTCGCTTGGCATAACTGTAGCAGGGAGAGAGAAGGCGAGTGAAAAAGGGATTTCGTAAGTCGTATAGTCACTTGTCTTCCACTCACTCTCTTCAGAGCATTATCGCTTCCCAGTAGAGAAGTGTGTTTAGATATATATAGGGGGATCATTGGTTCTTTACGGACAATGCAAAGTCAACAGCAGCACAAATGATCAGCAGTCAAAATATTGGCAAGGTAGGAGAGCGAAAGCATGCAAACATGTCGACTGATAAAAATTAACATAGTTAAAGTCAATCCCTTCCACTCGAAAACTAATTGGCGTCAACAACAGAGTGAGAGTCGGTCGTCAATTGCCCACACTCGACCTAAAACGGCCCATACAAGAAGATACTTTGTTTCTTTTTAAAAGTTGAAACGTTCCAGGTGGAGGTGGAGTGGTACAAGCCGCTGATGACCTACAGCACACACTGTAGCCATATCCCCTGAGGATGCAACAAATGCATGCAAGTGGAGAAATGCAAAGAAACGCTCGGGTAGCTATGCACTAAATCCTAAGTTAGTATCTAACTCGCTGAGTAAACCGCAATGACTCTAATCATAATTTCATTTTCATTGCAGTTCGTACCCGTTTCGTCTATGATAATATTAAATATTCTTTAGCGAGAAAATTTCCGAGCATTTATAGGATCAAATTATTAAGGATGACGGCATTTTTGGTATAATCTAAACTACATGATACCTGTAATAATACGGATTCACACACGTAATGTAAATTACCTCGGGATATTAAAACACAGCAGGAGACCATGATTAGAACCAGTCGATGAGCCTGTCACATTAATTACCCTAATGTGACCTTACAACAATGTCTAGCATACAATGATTATAGGACCAAAGTATGATGACATTAAACAAAGGCAACCTCTACCCTGTCAGACCATAATAGTGTGAGTTGACAGAACCTCCAATGAGGGGTGACACCACACCTTTTCGAAATGATTCAATACGTGTGTAGGTGAAGTCACATGGAAAGTGTGCAGTGTTAAAAACCAGGCACACCAAGAGAGAGAGAGAGAGAGACAAACACACACAGAGAAACATACACATACATATAATCACAGAGGGAAGGGAGAGAGCAGAGAGAGAGAGAGAGAGAGAGAGAGAGAGTGTGCGACAGACAGAGAGATAGAGAAAGAGAGCGAAAGAGAGAGGGGAGCAAGAGAGAGTGAGAGAGAGAGAGAGAGAGAAAGAGAGAGAGAGAGAGAGAGAGACAGACAGAGAGAAAATTGGGTCACGCAGTCACCTGGCTCCATCTATGGATGTTTTGGACAGCTTCCCATTTTTGGTACAATAGGTTATAGCTTTGATTATTTGTCGGGAAATCAATACAATTCCCACCTAAGAAATTGCAATGAGATGGCATATATTTAATCTCAAAACAACATTGGAACATTTATATAGCTAGCAACTTACTTGGCATTCAGACTTGATGTGTTTGACAAATGCACCATGGACCTCCAACACATTGTCTAGCAAAGTGCCTGACTCGAGATCGATCAAATCTTGGAGTGCATACATGTCAGAATTGTCAACGAAATGCTGTCTACTGACCAGCTAAAAGTACAAGTGTAGGTGTCTGTACCGAAAATATCTCTAATCAACATTTTTCGACATCGGTCTATAGCAACAGGTCTAGACTGATGAGTCATAAATCAAGGCTCGACACTAGCGGTGGCCCGGTGGCCCGGGGCCACCAAAACTTGATGTCGGGCCACTAAAATTTCCAAAAGTTAAAATTTGGTGGCCCGATCGGGCCACTAAAATTTCAAAGTGTCTATGTGATAAAAATAATTGTTTCTTACGTGCTAATCTCATTCAAAAGAGAGCGAGCAATTCGCGGAGCGAGGGCACACGTACGCACGTGCAGCATTCTACCACGGGCATACACGGGCGCACCATTTATCGATCGTCTACTGCGGCTGCAACAAGCCACGTTATTGTGTTAGACTGGTATCCGGCCTCACGCTCTGCTAGACAATGTACACGCTCTGCGACAAACAGTGCGGCCGCGAACCAGTCTAGCCAGAGGTCAAAATCTGAGCGGGCGCAGGCCATAGCATATTTGCAAGCGCCAGCATACATGTGATTACATTGTATCAAGCGAACCAGACAATACGCCTGTCTGCAGTGTACTGTGGAGGCGTATGTAAAATGAACGCAAGCGATGAGAGTTTCGAAGGCAAACAATTGTCATAATAAAAAAATGATGAAATTTCTTCCTTTTTTGATGTATTTTGTTAAAAATGTTAAAAATACGGGACACACATGCGTCCCGGGGAGGGTCGGTACGGGACGCGAGACACATGGGCAAAATACGGGACGTCTGGTCACCCTGATT